TTTTGTTGTATTTTTATTTTTGCTGGCCGACGTATCCCAAACCTAATCGCTGCGTTTAATTTACTTAAATTATACTAATGATCTTGAGCAGCCCCGGGTCTCGGAGTCAGTCGCAGTGGAGTCATTTGTTTTAGCTCGTTTATGGAGGAAGGCGGCTCAATTGATTTGGCCAAAGCCAAAGTAGCCGCCAAAGAGAGCCGCCAGCCGGCAACCGGAGGAGACCAGGTCCAGGTCTGTGAGTCCTACTCCCAGATCCGAGGCTAGTGCGAATCCAAGTGTTGCGAGTGTCGCTAGATATGGCCTGACATTTAGATGAAGTGTCTGTGAATCTGAGCCGAGTCGGCGGCCTCTCGGTTACCAGCTTGGCTTGTCTGCTTGCTTGCTCTTTTGGCCATCTAAATGTCGTCGTGTAATTCCATTCATAAACAAAACTTTAATTTTAAGACACACAGAAAAAAAGCCCAATTAGGTACAATAATATTGTGTTTATGAAAGAGTTGTTTCTTTGGAGGAATGCTATAAATATTTGGAGATCTATGCTATCATAAAATTAAATTAGTAGAAACTAGTAGAATTATAGTAATTTTTCTCTCTGCAAATGCAAAGTATTGCTGACAAAGTCAAACTCTTGGACTCTGTGAAGGCGTTGTCCTAGTCGGTTTCTCCAGTTGGTTTCCTGCTGCTGCATCACAAACGATTATCATAGACCTCGAAATGGCTCAATTAGTTCTCATGAGACCCCAGGAATTGACTATACCATTCAGCCATACCATTCCCTGCGGCTGCGCGAAAGTTTATTGATTGGCACTGCATACTTGTTGAGTTGTAGTTTCTGCATAACTCCCAGTGGTTCGGGCCGGAGAAACTTTTTGGCTCGAGCATAGAAGGAGGCTTTTCCCCCACTCACTTTCAGCATTCATTAGCCAATAAACTCCAATTCGGGCGACTAAGTATGCCGCACTAAGCCATGCCATTGACACCCATGCAATTGTTGTTAATTAATTAAAAAAGAAATACCTATAAGCGATTGCGTTGACAAGATAAAACGGCCAAGCCACACAGATTGAGGCAAAATAACACACAGTGTTCAGACAAACACGACTCTAACCCAAATGCAATAAATTGTGACAAAAAAAAAACAAACAAATACAAAAAATCGGCTACAAAATCTATATACTGGCTTAAGCGTCAAGGTGTGACATTGACCCTGCTGTTGTTGTTTTTATATTTTGCATTTGTGTGTGGCACAAATCCAAAGCAAGCACAATAAAAAATATTATAACGTTATCGGAGCAACTACAATAAAACATTGCATTTAAAAGTGCATAAAATGTTTATTGGAGTTGGAGTTTTTGGTTTTCCATGCCACGACAAATGAACTACACTGGACTGCAAAGCATGAACATTTGAGTTCTTAAATAATTTTTAAAAACCTTTTTTATGTTTTAGACTCTTGGATAATTTATCCATATAATTTATAACATTTTAAGCTAAAGCCTATATAATTACTCCTCAAGTTTGTTAGACAATTTGATCAGCCAGTCAGGGCCAAAGTTAACCTTGCCAAAGCAGTTATTCTTGCTGTTGTTTCTACTGGTGCCGCTTTTGCTGTTGTTGTTGCAGCTGCAGGCAATGCCACTTGCAACAACAGCAACTATATAGAACACAGCTGTGCTTCAAAAATAAATAAAAAAAAATAAAAGGAAAAATTCATAGTCAAGTACTGGTACTGGAAACAATTATTGCCATTAGCAAATTGGAAATATTTTTGCGCTGTTGTTCGATTTTGCAGTTTTCTCACGGCACTCGAAGACCGGGAAAAGGCTTTCCTTGCCTTTCCTTGTACGAAAAAAATCATCTCGACATTGGCCAATTGGTTTGTCAATAAGCACAATTGAAATCAGCGATCATCTTCGTAATTAGCCAGCAGCGACGAGAACAACCTCAACCGCAAACTTGGCAAATCCGGCAAATGGTGTTAAAGCGAGAGAGGGCGAGAAAAAATGTAATTTGTTTTCACACAACATAATCAACATGATAACCCCGGCCAAAAACGTCTTTAGATTGAGTCTAATGATGATAAACGCTTTTACTGTGAGGTAACTACAGACTCCTGACACCGACGCAGACCCCGGCAGACACACAGCGCGATATATCCACAGCCTCACCAAAAGCAACAGCTACAGCTACAGCTGAAGCTAAAAGCCGCATCCATGAGATACAGATACGAGGAGGGAGTCCAACTGTCCGTCCGTTAGGTGGTGTGTCCGCCTCTGCTGCTCCGGCTGGCTGCATGGGCCAATAATAAGTCAACATTCCAAGGCGTGTTAAGAGATGCTCGATTAAATGCCTCAATTGTGGCTCATATTGAACACCAGCGGGCAGCGGAGCCAAACAGCCAACAGTCGACGATCCGGCCAACATCGACACCACACACCACCTGTCTGCAAAGGGTAGAAGGAGCAGCAGCAGCAAATAGCACGCCCCCACCAAAGTACTATGGAAAAGGATATACATTTTTGGGAATAAAAGCAAAGAAAAGCTATTAGTTATTCAATAAAAAGTACATTACTCTCCTAAAACAATAAAATATATCCTATAAATAGTACTAAAAGTGTGTCAAACGCAAAATAATCTTTTTTTTATTTAAAATCTTTATTATTTTTAATAATCATTTACAATTTATAGACTCTACCCCACCGTACAACGGTCAACTTGCAGTTGTTGTTTGTTGGTTGTTGCTGTTGCGGATTTTGGTGTTGCTGGTTGGCTTGCCTGACTTTTAGCACTGTCGATACTGTTGTTGGAGGCATCCCATCGTCGACGACTGGGCGAAATCGTTTAGTGTCGTACCTAACTAAGAAAACGTATTTTCAATATCGAAATTATTATTATTAGCTGACAGCAAATCGCAGTTTTCAACTGACTTTCTGCAGTTGTTGCTGTTGCTTTGTTGCTCGGTGTGCCGGCTCATGTTGTAATAAATGGACAGGGCCCAGTACTGTCCGTATACACTTTGTCTACTAGTACTAACCTAAACAAAAAGGTTCAACATTTTCTAACCCATATGACGGTTGGGAGTGCAATTGGCTAAATGCGACAAAACTAACCAGTAAGTACGTACTTAGCAACACAATAAAGCAACATGAAAATCAAATAGGTATCTCAGCAACTATAGAGTCTTTGGCTTATAGATACTACTATTTACCCTAAATAATCCATATAATATTTGGGTAATCTAATGTACATTTAATATACTTTTTGAAGAGAATAACAAAGTATGGAAACCGCCAAATATTCTTTAATATTATATCTAAAACGTGGTACGGAATACTCTATTTAAAAGAAGTAAACACACATTAATAACTCGTAATGTAAGAGTATCCACTTAACCACCACTTGACCAATCTTTTGGCAATTCCGCTGTGGCACTCACTGCCGCGGCATCAATTTTGCGGTCGTCCCCCTTGCTATCTGAGACGACTTTGGGGCCGGCTTCTAAAGGTGAGAAACTGGCCATATTGCTGGCGGGTGTAAGGCTGCACCCTCCTAACTCACACACAAATACACATAAGCGGTACGGACCACAGAGACTGGGCTGGCACAATTATATGCCATTTTACAAAAATTTTTCAATAAAAATAATCATTTCCAAATGAAATTTATGCACAACTAAGCAGGTGTTTAGTGACGATCAAGCCGCCTGGGCACTGTTTCGGTTAAAGGTGAAAAGCATCACAGATCTAACCGAGGCACCCTAGGACCACCGACTCCCCTCGGAGATGCTGGGTGGGAATTCGATACAGTTGTCGATTCATCAAACAAGATAATTCGTTTTTGTAGCCGAATAACAAGGTGAGCTGTGATAAGCAACACGTTGCCATTGTCGGTATCAAATTACGGATCTTCCAATTAACTGACCAATAATGCGGCATGGACCTTTTAATATCCCAAATTCTGCCAACTCACGCAGTAACATATTGCCACTAGCCATGGCCAAGCAACGCAATGTTGCTGTTGCTATTGCTGTTAGTGTTGCTGTTGCAGGCACAACACAATAGACGCATTTTGTAAGCAACAACGGGGGGCTAATCAACTTCAAACGAGAACAATTGCGACCGAGTATTGTTTTTGACAGGATCGTTGGGAATTGCAAGTAGTTGGCAGGGGGAATGTAAATAATCGGGAATCCATTTTGAACGATGCAAAATGATTAAATCTGAATTCAAAATAAGAGGCTAACAATTCCAGGGAATATCTTGAAAAGTGCTTAGAGGAATGGTTACATTACCTTACCAATTACTCCTTTATTAATTAGAATATTTTTTTGAGATTAAAGCAATAACTCAATAAAATATTTAAATTTTAAAGCTAATCAACATCAAAGAAGAACAGTTACCGGCAAACTCCATTTCCTTCATCTGATCAATGGGAATTGCAAGTGGAAGAGAGGGGAAACTCTGCGATTACCAAGAACCCATTTCGATCGATGCAAATGATTGAATCCAATATGCGGCTGGCACTTAACATCCATCAAAACACTAAACGAGGAGTATTTAGAACGGCAGCAGCAACAAGTTGCCGGCACATGTTGTTGCCGGTTGACATATGAGCAGCAGCAGCAACAGCAGCAACATCAGCAGCGGCTGAAAAAGAAGAAAGGAACTTTTGCCGCCACACCACCACCACGTCCACGTACCAAGTACTGTGTTCGAAGAGCGGCTACTACACAGAAATCCCGGAGACCTAACAAGCAGCAGCGGCGGCGGCGACGGCCCAGAACAGAATTATGTAACAACAGATGCAGATGCACCGGCATCGGAACTGGCAACTGGCCCGCAAATTTGCAAGTCAAGTCACTGGAGATGTCACTCTTTGGGGATAGACAACGACAACTCGGACAGCTGAGCAAAGCAACCGCCGCCTCGCCGCCTGGTTGTTGAACTTAATCTCGGAATGATGGTGCAACATTCGCCGAGTGTCCGTTGTCCTGGCAAGGTTGTTATGGACGCACAATGTTTGTTTGTTGTTGCAAACACGGCCGAGTGGCCAAGAAAAGCCCAGAAACACCGCTAGCCCATCAGCACTCACTTTATTAAATCGAATCGATACCACCGAAGATGATCTCGCGCCGTGACAAATTACTCCAGCAGCCCTGGGAGCAGCTGCGATTTGCCCAGCACCGCGAGAAAGTCATGTCCGCCCGTCCGGCCATCGACTCCCATACGCCCCGAGTCCACGAGCACGTTCAGCGCAAGTGGAAGAAGCAGCAGGTTGAGCGAGAGCGCCAGGAACAGATCGAGCGGGAGAACCTCCGCCTCCTCCAGAAGCTGGGCGACATTATGCGCACCAAGCGCATTAACAACCTCTGGCTGGAACCAAGGCCCAAGTGAGGGTATTTGTTTATTGTACTACACTTCACTTACCCTTTCATGTTTTCAGTTTCCTCAATCGTGAGAAGCTATTCCCTACCCGCCCCTACTCCAGCCTGCCCGAAATCGTTACAATCTATGGAAAGCAACCGCCAGGACCGCTCATCTACGGCATACTGCCCAAGCCAAAAGTGATGGGCCGATGCCCTACCTGTATCGGGAATCCGGAGCGTACTGAGGTGGCCATACCGGAGCAAAGGACTCCTTGGGCGCCGGAGAGAAAGTCATGGAACCGCAAAACCAGCGGTCAAACTAAGCAACACCGCTGTTACCACTGCGGCTCTGTCAAGAGCAGCGAACGCAAGTTTTTCGAGGAATTCTCGTACTCCTACACATACGACGAATGATGAAGCCAGACGGCAAGTAATAAAACGAAATGCAAGTTTATTCTTCACGCCTTGGGTATATTTGGTGGCAGGGTGGCAAAGGTGAGGAAGCCCGTGTGGCCAGGTAGCACCTGGGGATTGCTGGAGGTCAGGTACTTCTTCACCTCCTTGGACGCTTTACTTTCTTCTGTGTTTGTTGGAGCATCGCTGCTTTTTGGCTGCTTCAGGAACTCGAGATCGATTACGGGCAACGTACGAGTCTTGATGACGCTCTCCTGTTGCAGTACCTCCATTGAGACGATCTCATTGAAGCCCAGTTTGGTCAGTTCTTGGATGCAGCGCTGCGACTGCTCGATGCAGGGCGAGAATGAGCAGAATCTACCGCCTAAAAATAAAAAAGGGGAATATTAAGAAACTTAAATCTTACTATAAGAACCGGTTTAGATACCGATATCCTTTACTGCCTATTTAATTTGCAAGTTTACTTTTGTATGCCTCTCATAGCAACATAGCAACCACAAGTTCGGACCTTTCCATTGAACAATTGAAGTTCCAATACCCCTAATGACAAACTCGCTGGGTCGCCTGGTCAGCCTGCTTTCCTGGCCGCATCACGTGTCAAAAGCGGGCTCATTCAATGTCACACACGGTGAAATGGCAGCCCAACTGACTGGGTGACTGGCGTACAGGCCGACTGGTCAGCCTCTCGATAGCTGACTGACTGACTGAGTGACCGAGCTTGATTGCCGAAGGGCGCTGACAACTCACCCGACAGCTTCAACGCCTTAAAAGCGTGCGGCACGGCCAAATCGGGTGCGGGAAGATCCAAGAAAACTGCATCCGCCTTGCCATCGAGTTCGTCGGTAAAGCCCAGGTTGCACACATCCCGGTGGTAGACGGTGACAAAGTCGGATAGTCCATGTCGCCGGAACTCTTCCCGAGCCTGATCCGCACGGGCCTCGTGAAAGTCGAAAGTGTGCAGATGACCGGTAGGCTTCAAAGCGCGCAGGAAATAGTGCGACAAAGACCCGGAACCCGTGCCGGATTCCACCACCACTGCTCCAGGTCGCACTTCCAGTTGATGCAGGATCATGCTGATGTCGGGGGTGTATATAATCTGAGTGCGATGGGGCAGGGTTTGTGTCCAAAGTTCCGGAGTGGGTTGCAGCACATGGGCCCAGCCTTTGGACAGCTCCACGCGACTGCCGTATTCAACGCCAATGATATCTAAATACAAAAAGGATAAAAATCTCCAGTAACTAGAGTATAGGCAAGATCTCCCACTTACTTTCCACTTTGAGAGACCCATAATTGGTCTGGAAGATGTGGGAAATTGTTTCTCCCTTTTTATTCACTATTTCAGGAACCGCTTCGATGGCATGCATGGAACTGACGCTCAGATACAGGATAACCACATCGCCCTTTTCAATGTGGGTCTTGGGTTTCAGAAAACTCATGTTTCAGGACAAAAAAACAAAATCCTCACGTTTATTTACAAAATGAGCGCGTGTTGGGATTTAGAGATGAGAGGAAAACATAAACAGCGCCATCCGTGGCCAAATTTGAAACCAAAAAGTGCCGTGACTATGGGCACACTAGCTCCTAGAGAGGAACTCGAGGAATCACGAGATATATCGAGACTGAACCACCTCTAACGACACACGACGAACAGTAATCGGTTAAGAGTGACCAGGTGGCAGAGAGTTAGCAACAAGAAGATAAAAAGTAATATTCGCGAAATATTCGGGAGTTTAGAACGAGAAACGTTGCGAAATAGGCCTTAAGCCGACGGAGCATCTGTTCCCTTAATGCTGCAAGGCTGCGCCTGGCTGGACTGCATCAGGCCTTGGGCCACACATGAGGAACGCATGAAATTCCAATAGGAACAGCGCGCAGCAAGTGCGTGGAAAAACACAGGCTCGAGGACAAGTTAGAGCGTTCGCGCGCGTGGCATGGGGTCACGTCAGGACGAGCGGGGCGATGAGATCGGTGGCGGGGGTGGGGCTGCTGCGGATCCCGCCCCCTATTGCATCCTGCCCCCGAGAGAGGAGATGGTCAACTTTATGGCCCATCAACAACAGCAACACAACCAAAATTTCATTCTCCACCAGCAGCAGCATGGTCAGGCAACAGGACCGATTATGTGGCAGCCACCACCTCCCCACATAGCCGCTCCACCTTTTCCTCATCTTCAGCCCCAACAGCAGCAGCAGCATGTCTACAACGAGTGCTACTACAATTTGGCGTTTCCTGGACAAGCTGGGCAACCGGAATCGTATTCGGTTCTGCCCGTAGGCCATGGAAACTTTCTCAAGGTGTATCACTGTCCGGAAAACGCCGTGAACGAAGCCAATGCTCCGCTTTTCACGCATATCAACATGGCTTCGCTGAATCACCAGCACCAGCATCAGCACCAACAGCAACACCACCAAATACCGCCGCAGACACCACCGCAACCCACTCCGCTCTACGAACTGTTTTCCGCTAATCCTCTGTTGCCGAAGCCGGATGTAAACATTACGGGCACGAGCCAACAGCCTGTGTCGCAGGCTCTGCCACAGCCACAGCCGCAATCCCCACCTCCACCTCAGGTCCTTCAAACTCCAAACAACGCTAATCTACTCATCAACAACTTGGTAAACAACTGGTCGCCGAATTTAACTGGAGGAAGTTACATCCAACTGGGAGACGATGCTAAAGAAAATGCCACAAACCAGGCAGAACCACATCCACCACCGCAATCACTTCAGCCGAGCCAGCAGCCTCTAACGCCGGTTCAGCCACAGTCCGAGCCAAAGAGCCAGACTGTCAATCCATTAACTACAAACACCAAGCCTTCTAAGTCCTCGTCACTGCCTTTGGCCACTGCCAGCGTTCCGCCAACTGCCATCAACAAGTCACCCATCGTGGTGTCGGTTCAGCCCGAAGGAAAGAAGCGTATTGTTGCCGAGGTGAAGCCTATGCCCATGTCCTACTCCGACGTACTCAGCAAAGGCACCAAATCGAGCACTGCAGCACGAGATTCACGGGCAGCCAACGGATTAGACGGCTTAACTCAGTCGCAGCGACGTCAGGGAAAGGATGAGGGAGCTGGGAACCGTGAAATGAGAGCTGCGAAGCGGTCACCGATGCACGACGCCAAGGAGGTGCCTCCAGGATCATCCGGCGGTGGACACTCGCACGGCAGCCGAAGCAAGAAGCGGGGCCAATCTAACCAGAACCAGAACGCCACCCAAAAGCAGCCGCAGCAGCAAGCGCAGCCTCAACAGCAGCAACAGCAACTTCAACAGCCTGTGCAGCAGATGCCGAACAAAGCGAGCAAGGCGAATAATGCTAACCAGGAAAAGAAGCGCCCTTTGCAACCGAAGAATAACATAAGTAGCGGCAACGGCAACAGCAACAATTTTAGGGTTATGGATCAAAAGACAACCTCCACCTCGATCCCAGTCACCACCAGTTCGATAAACAACAACGGCAATAATTCCACATCGGCCACTAGTGCCACCAACCTGTCTCGGAAACAAGGCAACAATAAAAGCAACTCCAACTCCAATCATTCGAATTCGAGTGGCCCAAATTATAACACTGGCTTCAACAGCAATCACTCCAACAACAATAATGTTAGTTCCTCTTCGTCCAAGCGGTATTCCTCCTCGAATGTAAATGTTAACTCGAATAGCAGTTCCGGCTACTCCTACTCTTCAAAAAGAAATCGCAGCAACGCTTATTCCTCGTCCAATTCACCCACCCATGCAGGCAGCTTCGCCAGCAATCGCAACTATGAGTTGGCCAAGCGTATATTGCACACCTGGTGGATCTATACGCTGAAGCTGCTCACCTGGCTGTTCTATCTGGTCTATGATATCGTTGTGCTGGGCTTCAGCATGGCCTACGAACGTCTGACTCTGGCCTATGTCGCAGGACTGTGCTATGCCCGGCAGTTACACAAGGAACTTAAGCAGAACTCTGGTAAACCGACTATTTGGTGGCGAACTTACTGGCGGCGTTTTGATGCCCGTTTCGCCAAGAACTCAAAATGGGCTGTATGGCGGCGCTTTTACAAGCGGAAACCCCCTGAACCCTCCACTGAATCTTTTAAAACTGGTCGCCTGCCGCAGACTGGCGAAGAGGCAATGTATTCTCTGCTTAATTGTAAAGGAAAGGATGCCTACAGGTATGAATTACATAATATCCCATTATAAATGGCTATTTTAGGAGCTTTCTGTTGGTTTCAGCATACTGGGAGTCCCACCGGATAGCTCACAGGAGCAGATTCGAAAGCATTATAAGAAAATAGCCGTGCTTGTCCATCCCGACAAGAACAAGCAAGCTGGCGCTGAAGAGGCTTTCAAGGTGCTGCAGCGGGCTTTTGAGTTGATTGGTGAACCGGTAGGGATAAAGAATTAAATATATCTTTAAATTCGATTAATTAAACACCATTTCGTGCAGGAGAATCGCCTCATTTATGACCAAAGCATTGCTGAGACGCTGCACACTGAAAAGGCATGGACGGAACTTCATGATCTGCTGTCGCAACTGCAAACCAAAATGGCTGAGGCAGCTAACACTATAAGGTATGTAGATGGAAACGTACCAGCTTTTAATAGCAGCTCTAACCAGATATTGTCCTCCCAAACAGATGCAGTACCTGTGCTCAGCGTCACCCCCGTAAGCTCACCGATCGTCCTCACTACGCGGCGCGGGAGTGCGCCTCTTGTAAGATACGCCACTCCGCCAAAGATGTAAGTTGCCCCAACCTACAATATACTTTTCAAACTAAAACATTCCAATGCAGGGTGACATCTGGGCTGAGACGAGCATGATGGGGCTGCGATGGAAATATTTGGCGCTAATGGACGGCAAGGTCTATGATATAACCGAGTGGGCCAACTGCCAAAAGGGAGCCTTATCCCATTTGGAGCCCAACTCCCACATGGTTCAGTATCGAATTGTCCGCGGTGCTCAGCAACAACAACAGCAGCAGCAACAGCAACAACAGCACAACCAACAGCAGCAGCAGCAACCACATCACGACCGGGGTGGCCATCATCCTGGTGGAGGCGTCAGTGGAGTTAGGTAAGAGATCAAGAGATCATAGTAAAGGCCCAGTTTTAATTCAAATTTTGTCCTTCAGCGAGGCCACACTGCACGAGTTCCTGGACAATTTGTACAGTGGCCAGCATCCCGGCGCACCCAACTCCTTTGCGGGCAATGCGCGGAGGCGCACGCGACGCAATTGAACCCCCCAACCGGTATAATTATAAGTGTTTTTAAAATCTCTATCCCTACAATTGTAATCGAGTCCATGCGTCATTGTCGACTGCAGGAATTTTACTCCCACACAGTAGCAAAAAATCGGCACTCATCTCTATTATTTCGGCGCCAACTTACAAGATCCCAATTTTAAATATTTGGACTATAATTTACACGATGCTTTAAGGATGTTCGTAAATCTTTCTACTTGTCGCATAGAATCGTACAATTCTCCTACTACCTAAATTGCATCTATGTTTCTTTTATTTCTGTCCATTCGTATGGGCGGCTTTACACGCCTAGCTCGTAGCAAGAAAATAGCTCTAAGTTCTAAGTATACTAAGTATCCCGTCCATGCGTTCATTGGCTAAATGAATGCGGCGGTACACATGTAAAGTTTAACACTTCGGAATTAAACACAACAAAAAGATAATGTTAATAAAACACTATTCAAATCTTAAGACAGTCTTCTCAGAGTGGCTATATCATCCACTATCTATTCCCCTTTAATAATATTTTTAAAACACACTTATCGAAACAAGTAAGGAATGAATTTTGTTTAGTGTTTTTATTGAAAAAATGCTCCACTCCATTTTCGCCTAATTTTCTACACATGTTTTTGTTTTTTATGTTTGTTTTTTTGTTGGGTTTTGTAGTTGTATAATAATAATTACATAGGTAATGTTTACATACTGCTCCACAAAAATGGCTACTACGCATACAAAACGTATTGCAATTGCATACCTATAGAACCTAGAGTGTGGGACTTACAGTCTATTTTGTTTTTTTTATGTTATTATTTTTTGATTCCAACAATTTGCTGATTTTAATGCTCCGTTTCAAGTGAATATTATAGAGTCTATGGGGATACTCTTATCTGTCATTATATTCATTATTTTGTCAATTTAATATTCTTGATGTTGTGAGAGGATGTTTTCGTTTTTTCAAATAGCAATGCACATTCAAATCGTGTTTTTTTGGTTTTGGTTTTTAGGTTAGCGGCATAATTTATTTGTAATAAATTAATGAAACAGTATAGGGATATTTTGGATAGCCTGTGACTTTTTTCGTACATTGTTTGTTTGCTTGTTTTTATTTTAGTTTGAAACGATGCTTTATTTTTTGTGTTGCCCAATAGTTCTAGACTATTTCTGCTTGAACTTTATTTTAACAATTATTGTGCCTAATTTTAAATTAAATTTGTTGTTTTATTTATGCTTTATACATTTACAAAAGTTCCTTTTTCTTTGTATTCTTTATATATTTTGTATGTTTCTGTATACATGTATATATGTACACATATGCAAATTAATGTCTAGACTTAAATAGTTGAATTCCATGCTTTAGCTTTAGTTTTTGTTTTTTTTTCTTTCTGTTTAAATCGTTTATGCTGGGCTTCTGTTTTAATTTTGCATTTAGTTGAATCTGATGCTTGCAGGTTTGCAGTTTTTCGCAGTTTACGTTTTTTTTTTACAATCCACTTTCGGGTACTTAGAATAGGTAAGTTTTGTACAACTAAAGTAATTAAAGAAAAAGAAGCAACAAAACATATTTAATATATATAGTGTGTGTTAGACGAATGGGCGCATATGCATTCGCAATGCCTATACATTTGGATATGCTTCAATGCGTATGCAGGTCTGCATACGATTGGCATATTTTTATGTCCGCTTTAATGAATTTTGTGGGTGGATAGTGGGTGGTTGGTGGTTGTGTGAAGTGTAAAGTGGATATGGAAGTGGGCGTCGGAATGGGAGTTTTATTATTGCCTTTCGAACGAGGAGCTCTCAGCTCTCTAATCAACGCCTACTCAGTATTCTAGTTCCCAGGCTGCCCGCCTACGTCCTCGGGTCCTTCTGTGGAGTATGCCGACTGTGGTGTGATGAGTTAAAAGTTTTGTGAATGTCTATGGAAATGACTCGTGGAGCTCCCCGTTTCCATCGTCCTGGCTCCTGGGAAGCTCCTGGCGCTGCCGTCCCTCGCTCTGGTCCGCTCTAAGCTCTGTGCTGGCGCCGCCCCGCTTTGCCCCGATATTATTTCGGCGTCTTCCGCTGCTTCAGCTCCTGGGATGCATCGTCCAGGAGCTTGGCGGCGTATCCGTTCGTCGCCAAATTGCCGTTCGCCCCCTTGTGCGCTGTGCTGCCGTTGGCCAGCTGCTTGTAGCCGTTGGCCAGGCCGTTCGCATGGCCATTGGTCAGCGGGGTGGTGCTTCCGTTGGCCTTTGTAAGGGGCGTCGTCGTCGCCGCCTCCGCCTCCGTTGGCTGGGGCATGGCCAGGTCGTCGTGGGCGTTGATGCTCTTGCAGTAGCCATTGGGTTTCGCGTGTCCGTTCGCCAAAGCTGCTGCTGCGTTCTTCTTCTGGAAAACCAAAGAGACAGAGACACCAAAGAGAAGGATTATGCAATGCTCGTCAACGTATCCATATCGAAATTTTGTAAATTTATATCCGAGTGTGTTTGTTATTGTCGTCTCCCCGTTCAACTTTCACTTGTGCGTCGCTGCGTTGCGGATGCTGGAGGCCAAAACGATCGTTAACCGGCTTCGTTTTGAAGTCTTTAGCAGCCGAAGCCACCGACTGTCTGCCAACCCAACAACACCCATATTCCCAGAGACCTACATACTTGACGAAATCTTGTTAATGAATTTGGACCACAGCATCTCGCATCTCGCAGTCGCAGTCGTAATCGCCGAGCGAAGCGCCAGCCCGACTGGCAAGGTGCAGTGGCGATGATATAACCGCATTTGCCTCGCCGCTCTCTCCCAGGCCCCGGCTCTGCGCGGAATTCGTTTTCATTTTCATTAACACAGACCGGAATCTGGAACACAGCGAGCTGAGAGCTGCGAGCTGCCAGCGCTTGCGCGGCACGACACCTTAATTGCGGCCCGAAAGCTCAGCTCGCCCCTTGGGCAAACGTGGGAAGCTCGAGGCACGTTATGGGAGACAATGGCGGAGCTAGCCTCGCCCCTTCCCCCAGTCTAGCTGATCTCGGCCAAGCGATAAATGGGCCATTACTGGCGACTAATGTGAGAAAGACTCTAATTTCCGGACCCATTCCGGAGGGAGGGGTAGGCGACTCACCATCATGCGGCTCTTGTAGGCTGCCTTGTAGAACTCGTTGAACAGGAAGAAAAACATCACGGCGTGCATTCCGATCCACCACACGAATGCCTTGGGATAGTTGCAGTCAATGAAGAGCAGCTGGAAGGCGTGGACCATGATCAGGATGAACTGCACCTATAGGCGGGAGAGGAAACGGGATAAGTAAAGAGTCCTACAGATAGATTCCTTTGAGTCTAGCTTACCATCTGCAGGGTGGTCAGGTACTTCTTCCACCAGAGGTACTTCTGGTACTGGGGGCCCATGGCCGAGAACATATAGTATGTGTACATCACGATGTGAACGAAGGTGTTGAGCAGGCCGAAGAAGGTGCTGTGGCCACCTGATATGGATAGGAATTGGGTCAGAAGACTGGGTCAGGATACACTGTGGCACTGTGGCTCAGTGACACACACTCACCTGGGGTGAATTTCACGCCGAACCAGACCGACATAGGCATGCAGCCGTGATGGATGACATGGAGCGTTGTAACCTGGCTGGTCTTCTTGCGCAACACGAAGAAAATCTGCGACAAAAACGGACAAAACGTTGATTTATGAATGTTGTTTACGAGTCGGTCGGTAGGGGGCTTTGATCTGTCACTCACCGTATCCATGAATTCGGTGAACTTCGAGAAGTAGTACCACCAGCAGGCATGAACCATCTGGACGAAGAGTTATATATCTATTAGCAATCTCATAATGAAGCCACTGGAGAGTGGGGTTTCGACAGAGCACTGGGCATCCCTGTCCCATAAGACAGAGGGGAACCAATCCGATCCCTTCCGATGGGACAGGGAAGCCCAATCATGTCAACTAAGCCTACAAGAAGTCTTTAAGTTTTTAATTTTTTTAATTTTGTTGAAAATCATTCAAATATTCATGCACTCCTCGGGTTTTAAAAAAGAGGTTGGAAGAGAAAGTCCGAGTGTCTGAGGTTCAATGTTGTTACGGAATGATCGTTAGGAGTGCCTTAGATTTGGAGGAATTTTGATATTTAGTTTGGTCTTCAGAAAAAGTCAGAAGGATAAATAAAGTCTGAGTCGGAGCCCTGAGTCTATAGAGTTTAGTGACGAAAGAGTTGACAGTTATGACGGCATACACATGCTATAATCTGGGTTAGCATCCAAGAGTTTCGTTCGGTGTTAGCATTAGTTTGGTTTAGGATGTATGCAATAGCCCGTAACCCCATCGGATTATAAATTATATAGATATCATCTACCCCTATGAGTGTATCAGTGTGTGTGTGGGTAAATATAGTTATGAGGTGTAAAGCGTAGAGAACCCATTTTATTTCATGCTCTCAAACCAAAAAAAAATAAATAAGATAGAACCCGGAATGCTTATCGGTAATGTTATCATAATCGTTATCTTACGGTTCGAGGCGGTTAACACATACCCTTAACGTTCTAGGATTATTACTATAGTCGACTGGCTGACATCGGAAGCTATAATGTCCAGTTAGCCAACCGGAAATGCCTATCTGTAATGTAGAGCACAAAAGTCACGTTTATATCTTGGTCGCTCGGTTCTTGGATGTATCAAGAAATGGTGGCATGATGTGGCATTGGCATCGTCCTCGTCATCGGCATCGTCGACATCTTCCAAGTGGTTCTGATTATTTTCTTAGACTTGTGCGTTTGTTTGGCGTGTGCAGAGTTAGTGTGAGTAAAATAGCGCTTAAATACGATATACTTTCAACTTAAACTATGGAGCGAGATTATGATTAATCAAAGCGAAATTAATCACCAGTTTTTCAGTGGTACTTGTGTGGGTATTGGACTAGCGTTTTTATATACAAATCACAAAACAAATCACTTTCAGTTGCGACAGCTGGAGGAGTCAGAAAGCACTGATCCTGTACGTGGATTCGTTAGGACACTCGAAACTTCAGTATGATTAGTCAAAGCCGGCAGGACACGTCTGGTCCTGGCGATGGTGTCTTTTTTTTTTGTTTATATACCATGGACAAGACGCTGTTTGGGTTAAAATGGGCAATAGATACTACGAGGCGAGGCGTGGCTTGGTTAATAATCCAAAAAAGCTTGGCCTAGGTCAGTCGACAACCAATAATCGTATAATAATAGGATTAGATTAAGCAATAAAGCCGCGTTGTTTATTCTTGAATGCTGATATAGAATTGTATGCGAATAACTGGCGGTATTTCGGGGGGCAAATCGGGGGGTCCTGCAAACACTTATACGGTATATCGGCGCAATGGCGTTCGGGACACTTACTCTCCGGGATGTGGCACTATCTGTGTAGTCCACCGGCTGGCACCGGAAGCTGTACGAGCCCCACCAGCCGCCCATCAAGCACTAGAACAGAGACATTAGTGGCAAAATGCACAGGTGAGTGAGGATAAACAAAAGCGTATTTCAAATAAAGATAATATTTCATCCTCCACGGTTCCACGGTGAATCCTGCCGAGATCAGCGACGATGCCACGATGAGATGGAGCTGCTATGTGGGAAGACCTATTCGGAGCTGAGCTTACTTACCTCATAGAACAGCCACGCGCTGAATACAACCTGTATGGCATTGTAGATGACTAGTGTGTTCTGCAGATGCAGGGGCTTTCGATTCTCCATTAATCGGGGTCCGAGCACCTGTGGAGGAGGTGGAGGAGGTGGAGTGGTGTATTATCAGCATTTGTTTAATCTCCGGCGGCATCAGGCTAGCTTTATTGGAGGAGGACGCTGATACGGCAGCCAGAGGGCCGTAAACCGAAATGAGTACACTGCCTTATCGGCACTCCATTAGATTAGTACCTTCCGCGTGGAAATAGCACCTCAATTGCCTGAGAGATTCCCAGTCTGGACATAACTAACTTGCCAGCTAATTGGACACCTGTTGACCATCTGGATCAGGGAATGGAAACTTACCTTGACCAGGTAGACGTATGTTAGGCACACGGCCAGTGTGGGGAACGGGGACGACATCATGGGCCAGTCCTTTGTCCTTGAGTCTGTGAATGGAGAGGGTGGTGATTGAGGGGCGAGGTTAGTACATGTTTCGGATCGTTGTCTCCTGACTTTGACCACAAAATAGCAACACCAACAGGCCTATGTCAACAGGCAGCTATTACAGGCAAACATTAGATAACGCCGTGGCCCGCCGTGATCTTATCATTTTGTGTCTCTCTGCCAGCATTGACCCTGATCCGCGGCTGGAAACTCGCACTGCGAACGTGCACGCTCCTAATGCCCCTAATTGCTGCAAATTTGTACGCAAGTCCTACACGAATGTGGAATGTGCATAATAGAGCACGTGTTGAATATTAATTTCGATATGAAATAACCGTATAAGGCACCAATATTATTTTCGGAGAAATTATCCAGAGTGCTGGCCATAAAGTTTATCTGAAATTCTCCCAAGATATGAGCTCAGTGAGATATCCAGATACAAGCGAATAAATCATGTTGAAACATAAATTTAACACGTTTCTGGTAGCCAGCTTGAAATTGCCTAACATTTGCCAAAGGCAGCCGATGGGGCTGCTTATAATAAATAGAATAAATATACATATGCCCACACGGATGTGTTGGAAACCAACACTCAGGCGAAGAGATACCAGCGACAGCCATCAATATCCAGCACGTGAATGAAAAGTAGATGTTCTTAAGAGAAATGGGCAGAGAGGGCGATCGCTTACAAGCCCCACACCGACTCTCTTGGCCAATTAGAGAGGTAGTGTTAAAAATTATTTAACCATTTGCCAGGGAGAGCCTGTCCCAGTATTGGGGAGAGAGCGAGGCGACATTGAATTGTATCTCCGATGCTGGCTATTGCTGGTTAAAGCCTCAACTAAAATCAAGGTTAAACAGTTTAGCGAATTGCCATCATCTCTTACCACTATGTGAGTCCATATATCTGTTTATGCTGTCGATGTATTTCATAATTAAGGCCATTGTGTTGCTGTGTAGTTGTAGGTTTTTGTTCTCCCTTATCTGGAAACGGAATCCTGCGATCCTTCCTCAGTGTCGGTTAGTATTATTGCTGATTGTACAATTGGTATTTTGGTGGTTTGAGTTCAAGTCCTTTCGGGAATCACGGCCTGCGACAGATCTAATATTTCACCTGGAAAGAATAAAGAAAAAAATTTAAAATATTAATAATAATTCTTATATGTAGTCATTTTTTTTGCACTCGTTTACATGCCAGCAAGAACACACGTAAATCATAAAGCCGAACTCGTAGGCAGAAATCGAATAAGGTTAATAAACTAAAGCCGAAAGCTGCCCCGTCAGCATTTGATCGGCACATTTACATCTTGTTTATAATTGGGCCCGGGCTCTGGGTTCCGAGTTTTTGGTTTTTTTTTTGCATATTTTTTTATTTTTGCAGGCAATCGCGGAATTTGCGGCCCCTTATCGTGGCGGGCAGAGCTATCGCAAATCGATAAATTCGGGCAAAGCACTGGAGTACTGGGCGGATGAGTAATATTCACGAAAATACATATTGTACCACAAGGGAAAAAGTTCAAGGACAACTAAGCGAATACTTGGCACTCACTCTCTGACCATCTCTATTTTCAGACACACTGCTGACGGTAATCTGCCAAAAAGAGTCACATACCAGCCCTCTCGTCAATTATATATTTGAATAGAAAATATATATAAAAAAAATACAATTAATTGGCGAGCCATTGTGGGCCTCAATTACAAATCTGGGGATGCTCAGCTTTTGAGGGAATCTCCCTCCATCCACGTCCACGCACTCTCACGATTCGACCATATCGGGTGCTTAGCGTCATGGGCATATTACTCATACGCCGCATGGTACGTCACACAAGTGTATCGTAAATGTTTAATAAAACAGCTCGATGGCATCTCATCTGAGGGGGCCGTTGTGCAGGCGATAATTATAAAAGGGCAGAGTCTAATGGCACAACAATGGGAACAGCCAGGACTCTCTTCTGGCGTATAAATATAATTAATGGAAGCGACAAGCCACAGGACCTATGCTAGCATAATGAAACATGTTCCATCCTCTCCCTGTCTGTCCTGGTCTGCTCCTGGGTGTGCCTGGCCAGGGCCTGGCTTCTGCTTGGCTTGTGCGTGTGTTTGGAGATGGTTATTATACTAGGCACTTTGGACGGGAAAGCGCTTCCTTATGGCAGGGGCGTCATAAATCAAAATTAAGTGCCGCTTTCGAGGGAATTGGTTTGCGACCCGTGCCCGTGTCGACTGCTGATGGATCTGATCCAGTCGACAAAACAATGGGTCAATATTGTACGAAGACCACTGTGTTTTGGGAGGGGGGCCTGAAAGCCAATCGCTGCCTGAAAGCCAAATAATACCACATTTCAAAAGGCAGCAGGCAGAAAAAATGTTTGCCCAGTTTTTGGGCTTGGCCAGCAACAAGCAAAATAAACAAAGGCCCAAAAAACACCTTTGCCAAATAAAAACAAAGCCGGGGAACGACAGCAACGAGCAACAAGCAACATGAAAGTAAATTGAGCCACTGCCACCGAAGAGCCAAATTTAAACTAATTCAAAGTCAAAGCAAGATGCAAACAGTACACCTCCGATGAAGACACCCAAACAACCGATGTTGTTGGCGGAAAATGCTGTCAACAACATGAAACAAAACAAAAAGGTACAACCAACTGGCACGAATCCATTCCAAGTGGGTGGGCGGTGAAGAAGGAGGAGGTCTTGCAATGGTTTTGCCTTCGCTAAGCTTAGCTCTTACCTTCAGTCGGCACGGCACCGCACCGCACGGTACCTGCTGAAAAGCGATGCCAGCAGCGACTTAAAGCCGTGCCAAATATTGCCATTTCATTGACCTGATTTTCGATGTTTTTCTGCTGCTTCTATATACACGTTAGCTGTAAGCCCTGTTAGGAGCGTGAAGCAACAATGCACGGCACTTGGCCATGCAAGGCGATACCCGAAAGGGGCCACCCAACCAAGCCATCCAAGCCAAGCACCCTCCCACCTCCAACAAACCTGGCCCAGACAGCAACACGCCGCTAAACCGGCGTCAGCGAAGGCGCCACGTTGCCACACGCTCACACCTATACACACGCACACATCCGCAGGAACATCACGTGATGTGGTCTCTTTCGGGAGGCACGGTTTGGGCCATATAGGGTTTCTCTTAGCCATCCAGAATTTCCCTTCGCGCGTGCGCAGAGACTCGCGGCGAGTTTCTTGAATGAAAACGCGAACACGAGAGCACGCTGGGCCTCTGGATGGGTGGACTGGTTACTGGTGTCTGGTGTCGCGTGACTCACCCAACGCACCCCCAATAATCTTGGCAGTACGGGCGGGCCAAGAAAGTGCCGCACAGCAAGAGCTTTAGGGAAAAGCAGGCGCTTTTCGAGGAAAACCTGCTTAATGCTCACCCAACACGCCATGAATGACGCCGAAAAGGCGCTTGTCTGCCAGGAGGTGGGTTGGTGGGTTGGTGGTCTGGGGGGTTGTCTTTAGATTATTGTGTCAATGGGAGCGAGGGAGGCCAGGAGCAGGGGCAGGCAGCCAAAGGTGTCACGTGCACTGGGTGGTTTGAGAAGCCGCTCCTACTCCGGCTACCACCCTTAGAGCTCCTTCGATGCCAATTCCATTTAGTATTGATTTTCGACTTGGTTGATTTCCACACTCGGCTCTTGGGCTGCCAAGGCTTCTGCGGCCACTTGCCAAGTGTTGACATGGCCCGTGCACTCGGTCAAAGGCCAATGGAAATGGAAATCGAAATGGGCTGGGCAGGTCGACAGCCATTCGAAATTGATGCCTCCGGTCAGCCAGTTGTTGCCAATAATCACAGGCTTTGACGTTTGTTTACCAAACTTTTGAAGGCAACAGGAGTGACCAAAGCACCAGCCCTTCTTATGGAGTCTTGGAGAGGATGGGGGCAATATTTTGGTGTATTTTGGATTTTGTTAACCCATCGACTCTAAACCGAAAAAAAAACTCATTTGTATTCGCATTTGGAAGCTGAAGAAATTAGCATTCCAGTAAGAGGTTCAATCACTTTCACAGAAAGAAAACGACCCGTAGGTTATGCCGATTTCGTATTGGCCAATAATTATAATAATTAATTCATAATTAATTATCAGAAATCTGAAAGCGCCTTTAATCAATCCTCGAGAGGTGGTGGGAAAGTCGTTCGAGCACATAATCACTTCAGCATTGATTGCAGAGTTCTGGGGAATTGTTACCTTATTAACGCTCTAGACCACTCGAGTTGGTCTATAATCGGCTATATCCCGTAAGCCAAATCGGACTTTATTATGGCAATTGCTTTTGAATCGCGTCCACTTCAGCAATGGAGGAGCACTCTCGACTCATTGGCACTGTGAAACCTGCCCCGAACGCTAGGGGGGTGGGGGCCGTAATTTCAGTTTATACCGCACTGGGATCCTTTGATCCTTCGTTTCTAATTCAGTTCGAGCCTCGTAAAGTCTTTGGTTTTCACTTTTTTAACCGTTAGATTAGGTTGGCCGAGAGAGGCGGTGGAGGAGGACGGCAGGCGGCGGCGGTCGGCAGAGAAACAAAACCGTCAACAACGACTAGCAGAGCACGACTAACTGGCTGCCACGGCGACTGACGAACTAAGGCCTCTGCGGCTGCGGCTGCGGCTGCGGCTGCGGTTGCGGTCGCCGTTGCGGCTGCGGCTGCTGAGCCAGCGTTTGCGTCGCAGTCACCGTCTGTCCTCTGCTGCAGTCTCTGAGCCAAGCTTCAGCGTCGGCGTTGGCGTTAACGTTGGCGACTCTGCCGATAGATTATGAATTAAAATAAATTTCTTCAAAAGGTGGGAGGATGGATCTTGAGGTTGAAAATGTTTTTGTGCGATTTGTCTCAATTTCCCAACGCCTCTGTGGTTTTGGGACTCCCTTTCATTGGGAAATATTACAAAAAACAAATAAATAAAAATAAGATGTAAAAGAAGACCTGACAACAGGTGTATGGATGTATGTACATATATGCAGAGGCAGCTCTGTCGTAAGCTGGTCTCTGCCTCTGCTAACGCCTCTGTCTCTGTCTCTGCCTCGGTCTCTGGCTCTGTTTTGAATGGCAATGGTGTAAGGGCCCCACGTCATGATCGATTTCAGAGGCAGGTGATGGCTGGCATACCAAATCACAGCTCCGCACTTGTCGATCAATTAATTATTACGGCATTTCACACATACACACACTGGCTTATACTGGCTCACACATACTGGGACATCATCCCGGGTTTTTTTCAGGCCACGGCTTTCGGGCTTTTGGGCTTTCGGGCTTGGGGTTTCATTTCACGTTTCACTGCTGGGACTTTTGCATTCAAAATCGAATTCATGGTCAAACTGTTTACGAATGTATGTCGCCAAAAAAAGAAGCCACAACAACAAGAGCAAGAGGAAGAGCGGACATGGCCAACAACAGGTTGACCTGATGAAATGGAAATGGAAATGTCTTTTGTTGTTATTTCCATTTTGACGCAATAGTCGGATTCGGCCTTTTGTTATTTATTGAGTTGCCAGGCATAGAAGAATGTTATTTCATAATTTCGAAACGCTGGCCGTTTTCTGATATTTTTTTTCTGAGGCGTACCACCGACACGCCTCCCACTCACAACCGCCAAAATATTAAAACATATGCATATGTATTAGCCTTAGTTACATGCTGGCGACGCTCTTAGTGCCGGCATGCATTTCAATTAGGCGGAGGAGGAGGTGGGTGGAGCAGATGCAGCGGACCAGGTGACGGGGGCGTGGCAGCAGGCGGAGGTGGACGCCACAAGAAAGGGGGGGCACACACTAGATGACTTGTTGAGGGGTCGCAGGTCGTATTGGCCCTGCTCTTCACCTGACTTTCAAAACTTTCTCTTTGGCATCTCTCTGGCATTGGGCTCTCTTTCTGGCTGCCCCTAAGAGAGAGACTGCCCTGCGATGTGGGTGCTGGGAGCGGAATATGTCTTGGAATTATGTCATATCTTCACACACATGCGTTACAACAACGTGACGCACCTTCGACCGGGTACGGGTACGGATACGGGTACTGGTACTTTCAATTCAGCTATTTTCCATTCCATTCCCGCTCTACGTGCGTTCTAATCTAAGATTTCCCCCCGTTATCACTCGTGATTAATTGTCTGCCCAAAATCAGTCTATTCCACCGTATAGGTGGTAAAGGGAAAGGTGTGTGTGGCAACTGATAACCGCAGGTGCGAGGCGCAGGGCGCAGTGAAAAGCAGGGCGAGAGCCTCGCCACAGACACGGGCGCAGTTGCTTGGGAGCTGCTATTATATATAATTTTTTATTGTATTTTATGTATTTTGTGGCCGCACTTGGGTCAATTAATGCTGAAAAGCCGTGCACCGACCGGACCGACGACCGGGCCAGGGGGCGGCGACTGTTTGGCTAATTGAGCGCATGATGCCCCCAGACATGGCAGGGGTCGAGCGGGTGCAACATCAACTGACAGGGCAAGCTGATTTATCGCGCACCATGTACCGCGTACCGTGTACCGAAAACCAAGAACCGACTCCCGAGTCCCAAGTCCCGAGCCACGAGATTCGCGATCCGAGATCCGAGATGCGAGTACCGAGAGCAATAGATAAACAATGTTGGGCTATTGCTCGTGCTAATGCCAGGCAAACTTTTTTCGCTGGCGGAAGCGGTACGGGTGGGAGGAGGGGCTGGCTGTTACGTTACGTTGGTATCTGCCAAATACCAGATACTCGCACTAATCGTAATAATTCGTAATAACGCGACCGACGCGACTCACAAGGACGAACCGCACGCACAAAAGGTCCGCAACGCAACGCAACGGAACAGAACACGGCACGAGGCATCACACCTTTGTGTGTGGCAGGGGCAGCGTATCTTGTGGCAGGCACTCGTATTTAACACTCGATGGTTGAAATCAAATCCAACTGCATTTCGGAATAACACTTTACTTTGAATCCACAGAGCGGATGGCGGATTGCGGATAGCGGGCAGCAGCAACTAGGAATTTCGGTGTGGAAATCACTCTGGCCTGACCCAAAAAGCGAACCAGACGAGGAGACAACCCAAAGCGAAATGCAAACCAGAGGCGGCCAGTAGTCGGGCGTTCGGGCGAAGAGCGGCCGTCGGGCGAACCCCTGAGACGGGCTGCCTCAGAAGAGCAGAGTAGAGCCCCCCATATGCTGGCGGCCTAAGAGAGCCGTCCGTACTCACTATGCTCTGCTGTGTATCTGTATCTAGTGGATGACAGCCGGGCAAGAAGCAGAAACAGATACAATTCGTTGCGGGTACTACTTTAGGCCGTGTGGCAAATGGTAAATGGCAAATGGCATGGCATGGCAAGAAGAAGCACCAGCTGGCGGTATTTTACACGTCGAGTGTTGCGTCACGCGCTCTCCTCCAGCACCACAGTTGATTCGGCCGATATGGGAAACCAACAGCACAACCCTAAAGATACAATATGGGTTGCGCTCTCCGCATCTGTCAGATACATGGCTGGGCGGTTGGAAAAGACCGGCTGCCTTACTTTTCTGTCAGTCCTCTCTCTGTCAGCCAGTCTCTCTCTCTCTCTATCACTCTCTTTGGGCTGCTGATAACGAATTCCCCGCTCGAAATTCTCTTCTGCTTTCCGTTCCGTTGCGTTACGTTCCGTTCTCTGTTCTCTTTCGAATGGCAGCAGCGTGTATCCGTTGGATACGCTCTGGTGCGAGGAGGGTTGCCAACGTTCGCGTTTCAGGCCAATTGCCTCCAGAAACGCACATGCCGCCAAATAAGTAGCCTGCCTGACACGAGTGGGGCGCAAAAAGAACAACAATAACTTGTACATGAGCATACGTATGTAAGTACTTGCATTATGTCATCGAGACCAGGGAGAGGCTTGAGGCCGCCTTCTCCAATCGCGCCATCTCTTTCCCCCGACCAGTTTAATATTTTCGGTGCTTGTTCTTCTCAGTTAGTTGCAAGCCACCCCTTTTGGGCCAGAAAGGACACGGGTCAGTTGCTCCAGCTTATCCTGCTGCTGGGTGTGTGTTTGTTTGTTTTTTGCGCTCATGCTCTTTTCAGCGGAAATAAACCGGAAGCGATGTTACCCCTTTTAAGCCCTCCTTAAACACACCACCCCCAAACCCTAACCCTATTGATGTCTCTCAGTTTTCATTTGTGGGCCGATAGCCAAACATGTTTTATGGCCGATAGCCCCACAACACCTTTATTTGGCTCTTCCGTTTGGACCCCTTTCCGAAAACCCAATTAATACTGCATTATTGCGCAAGAGAATCAAACAATAAATGAATGAAAAATAGTCAACGGCAGCAGACCAGCGAATGGCTCGAAGAAGAGCGATCATCGGCGCCGGTTTCGTAAGCAAAACGCACAAACACCCGGGGCGGGAGTGGGCGGGGCATGTCCAATGGGTCTTCGACTCCACTCCGCTGGCTAGTGGCCAAAATTCTTCGCATTGGCAAGTCAATGTTGAGACTAAATGTGTCAAGCCCACGACAATTCAATTTGATGGGCCATAAACCACTGTTGATGGCTTTTATGATTTATAGTAGAATGGATTCAGAAGAATCAGTGATAAGACCAACAGAAGAATTGTATTTTTAAGTACTAAGAGATAAAGATAATTGTTCAACAGGTCGTATACGTAATTTTAAACCAGATTCTGTCTTTGGTTAGAGATTCTTGTAATCTCTCATGTTATGCCGCAGATTAAGTCACCTTTTCCGCTCTTGTGTCATGACCAACCACTAACGGTTAACCCAGCTCTGGCAAAGATATAAATTAACATCTCACCTTGGGCTCGGATGCCCCCTGGAATCCGAAACTGGCCACCAACCAAGTCGGTTCGCCTACCTAACCGTGTGCCGGGCGCGCATATAAATCGATTAATAAGTTTCGAAAATGAAATGCCATTATCAACTGGTGGACTGTTGGCAGCAGCGTCCGTCGTGTTGCCACAGTGAAGTAACAGTAACGGCGACCAGTAAACCGGAGATTGCGCTGTCCGCCTGCACAACTCCGACTCCGACTCCAACTCGAAATCCAACTCCGCCGGTTGCCCCAGCTTCAGCATCATCAGAGACTAAGCGACAATTAAAATTAGCTTATAGCCCCCGGCGGCTGATGAATTGAATTAGCGGATTGCCCAACTGTGGGCGGAGGCGTAATTCACTAATAAACCCCACAATCACAATCCTAATGAGACATCGGCCAGTTCCGAAACTTATTCTGCGCATGCCCAGCCCGACCAGGCCACTGCAAGTGAGTCAAGGGCGCAGGTGCCGCCGCTGCTGGCCGTCAAATGACTTGAGCAGCCGGGGCACGTAGAGAGGCTATATCGCCATATCGCTATATCGTCTTTTTTCAGCCTGAA